GGAATCAACCAATTTTTAGTCAATTTTTTGTTACATGTGGATTAGTCAATTTGACAACAGTGTTTCTGACACACTTTAGGTATTCTGGGCTTTACAACTGGTGATTGTCCTGGTTCCTGGAGCTATTTTCCATCTTTACGCAGCATGTAAAAGCATCAACCAAGAATGCATCCTTCAAAAGCCCATCTACACTGTGACTTATATCCTCTCTGTCTTATTAAGAATTAGTCTAGAAGTGATAGCATTTTGGCTTCAGATTCACCTTTTTGGTTTCCAGGTAAAACCTCTTTACTTGTGTGACGCTGAATCTCTTGGGAAGAAAATGACTACGATAAAATGCATGGTTCCAGAGCACTTTGAAAAGACCATTTTCCTCATTGCAATGTATACATTTACTGTGATTACAATGCTACTGTGTGTGGCTGAGATTTTTGAGATCATATTTAGAAGACTGTGTTTTTTATTTAGGCAATGACAAATCATAAAATTATTACTCAAAATTATGCCAGTACCATTTCAATCATTTTGTTTAATTTTATCTTATTCAGTGAGTACCTTGATTTAAATATAAATGTTTTTTAAACTCACTTTGCTGTATCTAAACCTTATGTCTATCATGAAATATAACAGAGTTCTAAGTCAGACATTAAATGAACAGTTCATTCTGTTTTATCATTTATTTCACAATAAAGTATACATATAACTCATGTTCATTCATTTTTAAGTAGTATTTTTACAAACTTCTAATATACAACACTTGTTACAGCATTATCATAGCCAGAAAAATGTATTATCTCTTTTACAGACAGAATAATTAATAGTCAACAATGTTAATTTGTGTTCTCAAAGTCATACAACTGGACTAGAACCCAAATAGCTCCTTTTCTCATTCCACTGAAATATGTAGTTTGAACTTTGAGTATGTGATTATCTTTGAACTCATGTAAACTATAACATATTTAAGCACAAAAGTTAAAAGTTATTAAAGAGTAACTTTTATAGTTTAATCACTAACTTGAAGAAAACGAGCATTAAAATTGTTACATTTTAATATTATATTGTTTTCCTGAAATTTTAAATATCAAATATCATGAAAATTTAGCCACTAAATAAATTTGAAACGCTATGGATAACAATGTACATGGTTTCATGTGTCTTCTTATGCCCATCGAGAGCTAATAAAAATAACTGCTATATTAATCATCATTGAAATGCAAAATTATGAATATTGTTTGACTTCCTCAATAGCTGCTAAATCGAGCCAATGTTGTACCGAGCCAGTGCCTGCCTAACCAAAAATCATCTTGATTTTATATCATTTAACGTGTTCATGTACTACTGTCTTCTAATCCTTGTTTGGGAGACAGGGATAATCAAATGAATAGTACGGTGTTTACGTGTTTGTGAAGCATTATGTCTGATGTCATGTATTAATCTCCTCCACAAAAAGCTCTTGAGTACTTTTTATTGAACATGTGCCACCTGAAGAGGTCATATTAAACAGAAGGTAAAGACAAGTAAAAGTTTAGTGGAGACTGGTGTAATAGCACAGCCTGATGGGGCAGAATAATGTCTTCATTGTCTTTGTGGAGAATCACAGGCTCTTCTTACTAATAAATAGCAGCAGTGTTTCAGCTTTTATTATCATATTTGAATTGTCTATGGATAATATATGTCCTCACTGGGACTACCCCCAATGCCCACCCATAAGCACACATGTCTTCATTACGGACCAGATTTTCTTCCCCTACACCTCTGCAGGTTTGGTAATTTTTAATTGGATGTCAGACACAGGGTCTTTTATCTTGTTGGATGGCCAGTATTTTCTACCTGTAAATACTCAAAAAAGTTTCTGAACCAAAAATTACATAAATTCAGAAAGATCTCTTACATAAATAGCTTATTCATTTTACTTACGTGGGTGACTAAATAGTGTTAGAACAGTTAATATTAATGTTGAAAATATAAACTGTAATTTTGACACTTTCACATCCATGGGGAGGTAAATGCTCAAGTCTCCACGGCCTTCCTTTATTATTTTTCTGATGGAATCTTTGAGGAAGAATTATCTCTGTTTGGGGGGGATGACCTAACAATAGGATATAAGTCTCATTATACTAGAAGATAAATTACTGCCACATGCAATAAACTTGAAAGGTTTAACGACAGGTATTTATTACCCTGATTACATTGATGGATCTTCTGTCATTTACCACCAAATTAGTTCTGATCAAAACTGAAACTGAGACTTTTACTGTGAAATGATTACACATACACATGTATTCAAAGGGATAATGCAAAGCTGTTAACTTTCCCATCAAAACTCTAGCTCTAATTTTGCTCCCATTTCTCCTTCCTGTGGTTATCTTTTAGTCCTATTTTATTCTGCATCTCTTCCCACCTCTTACTTGCCAAGATTCTATCTCCATTATGGATGATAATATCAGGTCGTTCAGAAACTGTCCAGAGCTAGATGGAGGAGAGTTTAGGCCCTTCGACATAGAAAAATGTCATAATCAGGTCTCGACAGTAAAAGAAAAAAAAAGAAAAAATGCTTCATTGTTGTCAGTAATTCTGTGCTTCACTACATAATAGCCAATGTGCTGCTGTGTTGGTGGTGGTGGAAGATAACTTTGTTATCTTCCAACCTCATCCCCAACTACAAATATATTCAAATAAGGGAATGTTAATATGCTCCAGTCCTGAAGAAATAGTCAGGAGATAACAGGAATATACAACCCTCAACAGAAAGCAGCATTTTTTTCTCAGTACAGAATTATGGAACAAAGAATGGAAAAGACACAAAGATATATTGGTCTACAGAAAACCATAGCAAAGAAGTAACAGGCTGGGTGCTGGTGGCTCATGCCTGTAATCCTAGCTACTCAGGAGG